TCTGGAAAAGGCTCTAATGCTGGGAAGGGTGGGAGGAAGAGGAGGAGAGGATGACCAGCAGCGAGGGGGATGGACATTGGGAGACATGAAAGAACAGGTTAGGGACAGATCGTCATGGAGGAAATCTATGTGGTCACTAGGACTCGACAACTTGATGCCACGTAACCAATCAATCAGGCTTAACTTCAATAATCTAAATAATAATCTAAAATTATTATATCCTAAATAAACGGTATTGTCTTGTTTCTAACGGGTTAATTTGATAACTGCATTTGAGCATAATTGGCTTCCTTTGTAATGCAATCTGTATGTATTTTATTTATATATTTAAATACATTTCTGAGAAGAGGTCCATAGGTTTCACCAGTCTCAAAGCAGAGTTACCTTTCCTAGTACATTTTTCTGTTGGAAATTCTTTTAAAGATGCTGATTTAGCTGTTCTTCATTTCCTCTGTTTTTGAATGTCCTCCACTTGACTTGACGTTTACAAGGAAGGTTTTTTTAAAATGAAGTTTGATTGTTTATAACTTGTGAGGTTCATCTCTGTTGCCGAGGAAGTGGGGGAAGGCTGATTTCCCCAGTGATATACCTCAACACCAGAAGTGGAGCTACCGACTTTATGAAAAAAACATCCTTTTACTTGCCAGTGAGGCACATTGGTTGGGGGGACCCCACTCCCCCCAACACACGACAGGGCTGGGGAAAGGACACCCGGTAAAGGCATCCTCTGGTAGATCGCTGGTAGTGCTAAAACTGCACCACAGCAAGAGATGCGAGGCCAGAGGGTGTGAACCCAGAGGGTTTGTGGGAGGAGAAGACTGGGACCGCTCGTCTTCCACCCCATGGTTCAGCCCTCCCACAGTACCTTCATTTGGACAACCCGGTCTGGTGCCCAGGAAGCAAGATGCCTCATTGTCAAAAGCTTTAGCAGAGGCCTGCCACTGTCCTGCCACCCTGACCAGGAATGCATCCCAACTCCCAGCTCCATCTCCTCTTCTTTCTCCTCCTCCTCCTCAATCATTGGCTGGCCTCCCCTCACGATACAAATCTCCCTGGCTCCAGCCTCTGGCATAATCATCTTCTTCTTTTAATGCCTGTGATGCTGAGCTTTGATTTTGTTACCCGGCCTTAGTGCTTTATCTGAAAAGATCTGTACTAAGGCTTTGTGTAAATCCTTGTTCTGCTGGAATTGCTTCTAAGGAAATGGGTGCACTTTGGGGGGAGAAGAGCCATTTGCTCTCTGGGGGTTCTCAACTTTTGTCTCCAGAACAAGCACGAATATTTGAGGGTAGCCAGGCCCTTCCTTCATCTCTGAAGCAGCTGCCACCTGGGCCAACGTCCCAGGGTGCCTTCTGCTGCTCCTCTCTACATGCTGGGCCTTAGCCAAAAGGCTGAGATCTGCTCCTCTCTCTGCTCCAGGTGATCCCATCTTTCTTTTCCTCTGCAACCCATTTCTGCTTCCCTGATCCCTTCTGGTCAAGCAACACCATCTTGTTCTCTGAATTTCTGGTTTGTTCTCTTCCCACCCAGCACCCTTAAAAGTCCTCCTCCCAGGATTGTAACAATCTCCCTTCTGGCCTTGTTCTTTTCGGTCATCGCCATTTCTGCTCTTTTCCCAACTACCTACCATTTTAATATGCTGCAGGCTTATCAAAGTACAAAGAACAGGAGGAGAGGATGTTATTTCCTATCGCCTACATTTTAAATTCCATATTTACGTATATTTACATATTTATGTATATATAGTATCTTCCACAGAGAAGCAGGCATAAGCTTCCAGTACGCCTACATACTTCTGTCCATTATTTTTCAGTTCCTCTTAATCTTTCATCTTGGTCTGAACCTTATGGACCCCCTCTGCTCCACTCCAGATGCCAAGTCTGCCAAGATGCTTTGCCACAGCACCACTGCCCCAGTCGGGTTTGGTTTTGCCCCAGCCTGCAGGAGACGGCCCTCAGGGTGCGCTGGCGTGCATCTTCTCAAGGCAGCCCATCCAGAAGGAGACGAGCCGACTGTCCTTGTTGCAGCAGAAGTCCGTGAAGTCCTTCAGCAGCCGGTCAGCAAACTTCTCGTCGCCAGTGGCGCTGGACCGCCAGGTTTTGGTCAGCATGGTGTTGTAGGCCCAGTGGTAGCCAATGCGCTCCTCACAGAAGACGTTCTGGTTGGCGGAGCTGGTGGAGTTGCGGCGGCGGCGCTGCTGCCCGGAGAACTTCCGCTTGGAATACGGCAGCTGAAGGAACACCGTGCCTGAGTGGGGAGAGGAGGTTTTTCAGAGAGACCAGCAGCTTTAGTGAGCAGGGCAGGTCCCCCTGGGCCTTCTTACAACCAACAAGGAGGCTGATCCCCTTTCGAAGGTGGGCTGCTGCTCTAAAAATGAAATTTCACTGCTGAGCTGTGCTTGGCACATGAAGGGCTCTTGTGTTCCCTAGCAGCACAGCTTTCTGCAAAACTAGAAGCAGACTGGCAGGGGCGGGAAAGTTGCAGAGGCAACAAGCATCATGCCAGGCTGCTGGGTTTCAGACGGGCAGCAGCCAGCCAGCCAGCCCGAGGCTGGGGTGGGACCAGCAGGACAGCGAGGGCAGGGCTGAACCAGGAAACCAGGGTGGGGGCTCTTTCTCCAGGTCCCAGCAGCAGCAATGCAGCCTGGCGCCCGGGCCCTGCGAGGCATCACAGCCTGGGGCAGGTCTCTCCTCCTGCGCATCTGTGTGAGGAGCCCCTCCCTTGGGTGGGGCAGGGCTACGCCGGGCGCACAGAGAGATGAGCCCACAGGAGGGAGGCAGGAGGCGCCTCCTGGTTCCTCGGTGTTTGGGGAGTTCCGGAACTGCCAAAGGGGAGGACTGTCTGCCGGCCGCGGCAGCTCACACTCAGCCTCCCCTTCGGAAGCATCTCCCGCCTGCTGAGAAGTGAGCTGATGCAGGGTCAGCCGCCCCGGAAGGGAAACGTGGCTCACCTGTCACATGGATATACTGGGGCTTGTTCTCCGAGGGAAAGTTGAAGGCAGAGGCAGAGTATTTATCCTGTACGAATCCAAACCTGCCGGGAACAAGCAGAGCTCTTCTGAGCAAGCCAGGGGAGGCACATCTTGCAGCCCGTCCTGCCCATAAGCTTCACGGCACCGCTAAAATGACCCCATCCAGTTCTCTGGTTCTCCTTTGGATCTGGGGCAGAGGTATGCTCGGAAGGGAAAGCAAAATAAAGGCCGAGCCTTGCAGAGGGGGCATCTCTGACTCTCTAGCTTCCTTCCTAAGCCTCTGGTCCCCCACCCCGGCCCCCCACCCACTGGCCAGCAGCCCGCTCACCTGTGTGCAATGGCTTCCTGCAGAAGGTGCATCCGGTCCCAATAGGTTTCTGGCTCAAAGCCTGCAAGAGAACCGGGAGGGAGGTTCCGGTTGCTGCAAAGATCGCTTGTGGGATTGTGTGCGTCCTGCAAAGCTTCCTGGAGAACTCGAAAGCTGGGAGATGCCTTTGTGTTACCTCGTTTGGTCCCAAGAAAGCATGGATTTTGTCTCCCCAAAGCCCCAGACGGTTCAGCTCCTCCATCTAAGTGAGCCTGATCCAAGCCACCCTCCAGGCTCAGGTGGACAAAGAGCTCACCTACCAACAATGAAGTTGCCTACTGAAGACTCTGGGGATAAGAGCAGCTGCCCTTTCGTGGTCTGCAAGCTAGTTAAAAAACCGCCAGCCGCCCCCCCCCTCACCATCAAAGAGGTGCTCGCTGCCCTCTTTCAGCAAACAGCTGATATTGAGGGGGATGAAAAGCTGGGCTCGAAGGGGGTCTCCATACAAGTAACTGGGCAGTGCAAACGGGCCTTCCAGGACTGGGACCAGCAGGAATCCACAGGAAGTGGCTTTACGATGCCAGCCTTGGACCTGTAGAAAGAGGGGAGTCAGTCGGGAGGCTTCGCCTTGTCTGCAGGCCTGCCTGTAGGAGTACTGGGTTCAGATGATGCCCAGACACTGACTGGATCCTGGTGCCTTGAAAACTGGCCTCCAGGATATCTAGTCAGTAGGAGGCCTTTCTGATTTTCTGGAAGAAGCCCAGCCAGAGAGCCCGGCTGCCAAAGCTCACCATCTCAAAGAGGACAGCTGCTGTCGCCGCCATCCAGTGCAGCTTGACCTCAAAGGCGGCGCTGAGGGAGAAGCTGCCGTGGTAGTAACAGCTGCACCACTCCAGGCGGTCCGTGCGGTTGTTGATGTCCACATCCAGGGTCACCGTCCGTTGTTCTGGCACCGTAGCAGCTACCCGGAGAGAGGAGCCAAATAGCAGAAGGGAAGGAAGGAGAGAGCAAATAGGAGACATTAGCCATTCGGCAACTTGCTGGCTCACCTGACCCAGATTTGGACTCCTTGATCAATGCAAGCAGCTGAGTGCCTTCCTGTTGGAAAGCAGTATCAGCCCTTATTCCAGTAATTTAAATTCCCCAGCATGCTGTCTGGGGAATTCTGGGAGTTGAAGCCCACACATCTTCAAGCTGCTACAGCTGAGAAACCCTGCTCCAGAGAGTGCCCAGTCCAGGTTTTTGTGTGCTCTCTTTCGGGTCCCATGTTGCACCGCAAACGCTCTGACCCGTGTGGAATCAGGAAGGAATTCTCTGGAGGAAAGCTCACGTTTGTTGCTTCTCTTACTGGTTAAACTTTCCTTCATCAACCATTTGCTGGCCTCACCCAGACAACCCCCCCCTCGTGATGGAAGACCACCTTTGGGCTGACTTGTGTTTCTGTGGTCTCCCCCCCCGCCCCGCTCCAGTTTCTGTTCTCTTTACGTTTAGAGAAAGCCAGAGCAGAGTCATGAGACAGCACGCAGACAGATCGGATGGCTACTGGTGGCTCTCCCGGGCAGTCCTAGGCCAAACCCACTTGTTCCTGCCAAGTCGCCCCTCAATCTTACCTCTGCTCCACCCTGCAGAGGTCCCCACCGTGACATTGGAGGGCAGGTACACGAAAATCCCTTCGGTAGAGAGAGACAGTCCTTGCCCACATTTCCATTCCCGGTTTTCTCCGTGCCGCTGTGGGCTCTGCCCTTCTAACCCCTTTAACGCACGAATGGAACTCAGTCCCACTCGGAGGTAGAAGCCAAACACCTCTTCCTGCCGGATCTCAACTCATTTGTTCTAAATAAAGAGGCTCAGTTCTTATCAGCTGCTATCTCAGTCCAAAGGACAATGTTGGTTTTGCCCTGATGCTGCTGATATTTGTTACTGGTTTTCTGTTATCTTCTAGTTTTATCTCTTTTTTTAGACTTTTATTCATCTTTTATCTTTACTTCTATTATATTTTCATTGTTATTTTATTCTCTCTTAATTTTTTTTTTAACCTGCTGGTCATTGACCACATTTTCTGTTAATAAATAAATATATGAGAACATAGCATAGCAGGATTTTGGCACTGGTGAAGGACATTAGTGTTTCTGTATAACTGAGATTCCCCTCTTAGATGATTTTGGAAAAGCAATACCCATCATGGCCTAAAGGGCCTAATTTGGAAGCAGTGCAACATTTTCAAATCGTCATCATCCCCTCCTCCTCTCTGTTGCTGAATTTCCTCCCACATTTTCCTGGTCAGGCCCTACCTGGCTTGGAGGAACAGATATTCCTCATTTGGAATAATTCAGAGCCCCACAGCCACTGTTCCCATGGCAGTTACCCAATAACGCAGCCGCCTGGCTCCGTCCTCCAAAGCTGCGGCTGAAGGAGCTGTGCCTGCTGGCGTAGGATGCCGGGCGGCTGGGCAGCCACGGCAGGAGGAACGCCGGGATGTCCGAATGGGGAAGCTCCTCGGCCACAAACGCCACCTCAAACCACTTTCGCTGGAAGGCGGAGAAGTCGTCCTTTGCTGCCGTGTGCCACTGAATTCCCCCTGCTGTGTGCTGTTGAATTCCCCCTGTGGAAGAGAGGAAAAGAAGCTCCTTTGGGATGGCCGACGCTGCCCAGGGCCCAGGGAGAGTCCCTGCGAGAGATGGGGAGGATCCCTTTCCTTGCCCAGGCTGGGTACAATCTCCAGCACAGCCTATTGCCAAGGAAACTGGCAGAAGGCTGGCCTCTCGCACTCGGGCAGAGGAAGGTCAGGGGTGGGGCGAGGGCGGGGTTCGCTCCACAGGTTAGATCTGCCTGCCCTGCCCTCCCCAGTCCCAAAGTGTTTTGGTGTTTTAGGCTGGCCTGTTTTGCTTTCTGGAGCGCCAATGAGCCAGCCAAGGGAGGGGCCTGAGCCAAGGGCTCCTGGGGGACACAGGTTGCCCCAAACTGCCCCGAGCCTGACCTCGCTCCTGCTCCTTGTCTTCCACTATCTTGTAGAAATAAAACCCATAAATAAAGGTGCGAAGCGCCTCTCCGGAAGCGTGAATTATCAGCTGCTCCTCCAGCATTTTCTAAACCGTGAGAAGGAGAGAAGATGACGTGAAGAACAGCCTCAGCTTGAGGAGCAGCCGGTGGCCGTGCAGGCAAAGAGGAAGGGAGCTGGTCTGCAACCAGGGTTTCTGCTGCCTTCAGAAACTGCTCATCCCACCTGACTTGGTAAAAGCCAATTCCTCATCTAAGGAACAGGCCGAGGTTTATCTAACAGTCCCCAATGCAGCCCTTTGCCTGAAACCCCTGGATTCTGCCAGAAAGGTCTCTCTCCCCACTGACAAGCAGTGATGTCCAGCCTTTATTAAGGCAGAAGGGAGGCATTTTTCATGTACATCTATCAATGCTGCAAATATAGAGAGCCGAGGGGCTGGAAAGTTCCAGATATCATCACCTGCATAATGTCGATGGCCATGGCCTGGGTCTGCACCCCCTCTACCATGTTCACCAGCCAGTGCACCACTTCTGCACTGATGAAGCAGGATGGGGAGAGGCCTTTCTGCTCGGAGAGCAGCTGGATCCCTGTGCTGAAAGCCAAGCAATCCACAGGTTAAGGAAGTCCAGGGACCTTCTCACTTGTCCCCAGCCTCTGCCCCTCCACCCCCCGGTCCTGCGTTGTGTGCCTTGAGATCCCACTGGGAGGGAAATGGTTGGCCTCCAGCACACTCTCTCTTCCAGAAAGGGCTGCCAGAAGGCAAGGGAGAGAGTTGAAGGAAACCTACGTGGGATGTTTCATAGCTTCGAGGATTTCTAGCAAAGTAGAGGACGACGTCAGGGAGCTGGTGGAGAAGGGCTGGGAGCTGCAGAATTCAAACAAAACAAGCACTGAGCTGGCAAACTGGTGCAGATTCACAAAGCAGAAGTGAGCTCAAGACAGGACGGTCACAAAGGCAGTGCGCGTCTGCTTAAGGACACTCCTGCTCCAGGGGGGATTTCAAATGAACTGTTCATTGATGAAGCTCTTACTTCAACTACAGCTGAACCCGCCCGGTCCTTCTTACCTGTTTTCCACAGGGCCAGAGGTGGCTGAGGCCGGGTCTCCTCCATGCAGGGAACTGGCCTGAAGGCCACTCCGGTCTGCAGACTGGCCTGCGCCGATCAAAGTGCTGCCTTCCACGGCTGCCGGAACAGACTGATCGACAGAGACCTTGGGAAAAGAAAGGAGCGGCCATAGCATAGGTCGTCAGCTGAAGGCACCGGCTTTGGGCTGGCCCTAACTGTAAGACTTGGGTGTTTCAGGCTAATCTGTGCGTGCCTGTCATTCCCTTGATTTCTTGGCAGAGCGAGTCCAGCAAACAGGTCTGAGCTGTAGTCTAAAGACACTCTCAGACCAGGACCACAAAAAGCGTGGTCATACACGTTTCCATCTCTCACCATGAAGAACCTGGCACTTCCCTGGAATCCTTTCCACACCTGGAGCTGCAAATGAGCTCACCAGGGACCAAGGACTGAGACAATCAGAGAGAGAATGTCTTGAAGGACATGGCCTGCAAGGGGGACAGGGAGGACCAACCCCGACTCACTCCAAAGATGCAGTCCTACCAAAAGGCAAGGGAGAGGCAACTTCTCCAAGCTGCAGGCTGAAAGTAGCACCAATGTGGGAGATGGACAGACCTGGCCCAAAGGACAATTCAACGGAAAGTGAATGTGAATGGGAAAGTGAATCAGAAGCTCCTCTGATATGAAACAGAGCATGACTGTTCTTTGCACAACAGGTTCAACAGCATCTACCTGCCTAGTTTCCATGACCTACCATGTGGGCAGGACCTAGCAGCGCGTTCTCTGCCTGGGTCAGTGAAGCTTACACTGGCAAATGTGCTCCCAGGTCATTTCCCCAGTTAATTAATGGAATGCGAGCCTGTGAGGGTACCTCAGCGTGTTCTGAAAATGGTCTCTTTGGATTAGGACATTCTCAGTTCTGTTTGGGTTTCCAGGAGTGCATCAAAGGCCCATGTTCTATTCCACACTGAGCTACGAAATGATTTCTGCCTCAGGAAGGGGTCACAGGAGTTCCAAGGTAGTCCTGGACTACCAAAAAGAGCAAACAACAACCATCTTCTAGAAAGACCGGGCCCCAGGAAGACCACCTCCATCTGCCATAATCTCCATCTGGGGGGGGCAGCATATAAATTTAATAAAAAATAAAATAAAATAAAATAGTAAAGTAAAACAAAACAAAACAAAACAATAAAATAAAATAAAGCAACGTTGGGAGGAGTAACCAGGGAGGAAATGGGCCCCCCATCAAAGGTAGAATCTCCAACTGCTAATTCTGCACTAAGAAAAAGAAGATTCTTTCCAGCATCTATGAATTAATGCTGAGCAACCTTTACCTCTTTCCACTGGAAATGGTTAATTCCTTTGCCAGTTCCTAAATCTTCCACAAACTATTTACTTGTCCTTTTTTAGTCAGAAGCAATTACAGTTTAAGCCAGGGTGAAATCGCTCAAACTACATTGTGCCTTCTTGCCCATAAAAGAAATCTCAGCAACACCACATTTCCTATTTTTGCCTTTCTGTCAAGTAACATCCACATGGTTGAAAAGGGTCTCAGGCCCCTTCCAGCCAAGCCTGCGGGCACGTCTTCCCAGCCCGCTCAAAGCCGAGGGTCAGTGCGCTTCCTCTGCAGCCACAGGCGGCTGTTCTGAATTCACCGCCATATCCTCGCCGTGGATCCCGTCCAGTCCTCCTCCGCAGAATGAGCCACAGCGCAACCAATCTGAACTGGCTCTGGAGGTCCAGTGGCAGCCTTCTTCCTCCCAGCACTCCAGCACCCCTCACCCTTAGGGAAGGCTCCACCTTGACCGGGGGTCTGCCCAGCCAAACCTCGGACGACAGCACAAACTGACCGGGACAGAAAGCCCACAAGGTCTGGTGCGCAGAGTATCGACCAGGGCCGGGCTCTCCTCTTTAATTCACAGTTCCCTGGGTCAATGGTGACCTTCAGCTCTCAGTCCGGTCTGTACCACAGCCCCGCTGTCACTCTGGCCAGGCTGTAGCACCACCACGGCCCATGTGGGGGGCGAGAAGGCAGGTGGCTGCTGTGCGCAAGCTCCTTCTGCCCTCGTGGGGAATTCAGGTCTTTCAAACATTTGGGACCTCTTTTGGAAAACTCAAGCCCAAAACATACCCAGTTGCCAAGAATCACTCCCATATCTTTGCAGTAGCTAGACAGTAGCTGAAGGTGGGGGGAGGAGAGGGGAGGGGGGAGGGGAGGGGAGGGGAAGGGGCAACCAGCTCACACAGACTTTCCTCCTGTCTCTGCAGGAAAAAGGGCCAAGAGCTTTTGGCCTGGGTCCTTTCTAACGAAAACTGAACAGTCCAGGAATGGGAGGGGCAGATCTCCAGACAGGGGCAAACGGCATTTTCCTCCCAAACCAATCCACGTCCTTCTAATTGACTCAGACCCGGCCTCCCCTACGGAGGGGTATGGACCCCAAACGCACTTTGCAGCATTGCCACAAAGAGCGCGTGCCCTGTCCAAAACTGACCTGCGTGTGGAAGAGAGATGCTGCGCGAGGGCTTCGAACAAACTCCATAAAGAAGGTCCCATCCTGAAGCACCGGGACACGGCAATGGCGGCAGCAGAAACAAGAGGGGGAAAGACACCGTTGGGCAGATCTGTCACTCCAAGTGGAGGGGCAACAGGGCACGCAAACTGAAGCAGGCAGAGAGGGCCCGCGAGGCGGAAGGAGGCAGCATTCAGAGCGTGCAAGAAGGAGAGCTGAGACTTCTGCTCCGACCCAGGCTGCCTTAGGGACTGGAATCGGACGTCCCTTCCATGTTCTGCCTTCGTTTTCTGCCTTCCTGGCAAAGCAGATGCATCCCAAAATAACTCTTCAGGGCTCTTAAGATCAATGCATCTCTTTCCCAAGAGCAGTGGATTTGCACAGGGATAGAAACGCCCATAACAAACTCCAAGAATTTCTCCACCTTCCAGCGAGTGGCTAGCCAGGCAGAGCACACAGGGCTGCTCTGGGCTCCCATTGCCGAGATGCTGAGGCAGGCAGGCAGGCACCAAGAGAAGGCAGGCCGGCCTAGCCCTTTTTCATGCCTCTCCTACATGCTACCTTTGCCTCCCTGAGCTTCTCAACGGCCCTGCAGGAGGCAGTCACTTTGCTGCCCATTCTACAGATGGGAATGACAAGCTGAGAGACAAGCCTGGATCAGAGCAGAAACTGAAGACCTGGAGTCCAGGCCCCGCAACACCATTCACAGTCCGACCTCCTGAAACGCCCTCCTGCTCCTAACTGTCTCGGTGAGACAGGAACCTCTCTGGGTGTTCATGGGTGTCAAAAAGAGCTTCACTGAACGACTGCACTTCTAACACGAAGCAGGCGGAGGAGCAGATGGTTTGTAGGACGCAGCTTGCAGCTCGACAGCCACGGTGACTCTTAGCAGCATCGGGACTAAGCCTGTGGGTTGTGACGCCCCCGGCCCAGTTATCAATTCACCTCGAGCCTGAACCCCACCAGGAGGGGCCGTGATACCAGGGTTGCACAGGAAGCGTTTTGGATGCACCAAAGGGCTGCATGACTAGGACAGCATCTCGTTACTGGGCCTGTGCGCCCAGCTTTGATCCAAAATGATCAAACCAGGCAAGTAGCACAAGAACCGCCCTGTGGGTCAAGCTCTCCAACAAACGCAGCCCCCGCCCCACCTTCCTCTCAGAAGAATGCAAGGGCCTCAGCCACGCAGTGTCCCAGAAGAACCCCCAAAGAGTGAAGACTCGTTAGCTGTGAAGACGGCTGAACACAGAATGCGACCTCTTTGGCGTACACCTTGCCCACCTGGCCCAGGTGGCAAGACTCTTCCCTTACCTCAGACTTGTGACACTGGCAGCAGTTAGCGGAGGGCCCATGCAAGCCACATGCCTGGAGCCACATGCAAAGTGTGCCAGTGCATCTAAGATTCTGCCCTCACCTTGCGTGGACTGTCCATGTAAGTGGGGGTCATGGCGACGCTGCCACTCTCTGCTGGCTGGACAGAGCTCTTCCCGGCAAGGGCTGCAGCCTGCTGATCACCCAGGACCCTAGGAACAAGCAAGAGAGGTCCATGGAAAATTTCTCAGCATTCAGGTGGAAGAAAACTGTTCGTCTTCATGCCAGAAAGGTCATGCCTGCTCCTCTCAGAGGTTTTGACTCCAAGCAAGGGGCCCACAGAGAAGCTGCCAACAGGGCTGCCCAAAATGTCCCCCCCGTGGGGTGCCTATGCACACAAAGCAGAACCCGTGCAATTATTTCAAAACTGAACGTGGGCCTTTTGAGGCATGGGACTGGGCTTTCACAAACTCCCTTCAGGCTGCTCCGTAGAGCCACACCGACCAGCCAGGTCCCTGCTGCTGGGCTGAGGTGGCGGGGGGGCGATGGCAGCAGTCAAACAGCAGCGAGACGGAAGAAGACTGCTTGCAAACTGCCTGCCAAGTTGTTGTTCCTTTGAAAAAAAGGTCTGATTTGCACATAAGTGCTGCTGGTGTTGCTGCGGCTGAGTAAATGCAAAATCTACTATTGTCAAACAAATGTGCTTCAGTTGGTCTGCTGAGCTTTAATGAACACATGTACTTTGTATAATTTTTTGTGCCCTATTGTATAGTACCTGGAGTGCCCTTTAAAATCCCCAAACTGAAGACTTTCTTTTGCATTCTCACTGAGCTCTGATCATGCCTTTTGCTGCTGAGCTTCTATTAACATCAGCTGACTCAAACTACACATGCTTGCATTTTGCAGAATGCATCCTGTTTGCTGGCTGTACAGAAGCTACAAAGTGCTGTGATGCAGGGCAATGATGTTAACTTTTTTTTTTTTCACAGTATAAAACCCTTCCAAACAGAAGAGCAAGATTTGTCCCAGATGGTCAGACCTTTTGCTCTTTCTTGGGAGTTTCTGTTGTGATTAAGCGGTAAGCCGCGACTAACAGATAAAGTGGATGCCGGCTGAAAAAACGCAAATGGGTGTTTTCAGCACTCTCTGTTCTCTTTGCATCTTGGCTGAGTGCCTCAGAGGGTATATTTAAATAACTGAAAACCAACTCACTCTTTCTACTGAGGCGGAGACCAGAAAGCATGCTGAGTGAATCTGCTTCAATTGTATGCTATTGGCGATTATTTTTAATTTTTTAAAAAAGTTTTAAAAATAATCTCTTTGGCTATTTTTTTCTGCCAATAGGCTGGCCTATAGTAGTAAACATGGGTGGCTACCTCACCCAGTCTTGTGATATTGTAGTGAAACACGAAGGAGTAAGGAGTTAATACTAAATTCCCACTGTTTCCTAAGGCTGCATTTTGAGTCCTGATCTGATGGAACATTCAGAAAGTTCGGAAGAAATGCCTGAGTGGGACTATTTTATTCTGAGTTTGAAACCAAATGTTCTTCATTTTGTGCAGAATCCTGGTAGTGAATACTACTGGACAGGATGATTGATACCAATGGTATTCAAGGTAAACTTCCCTTTGCCTACGCATTTCAGGAAGTCAAAATACAGTGGTACCTCGGGATACGAACTTAATCCGTTCCGTGACTCTGGACGTATCCCGAGTTGGTTGCA